GCAATTGCTCATGGGGCTCAATGAGTCTTAAACGGTGAGATCTAACATATTGATGATGTCTCCATTACCTAATGTGAGGCAAGCCTATTCATTACTTGTACAAGAAGAGATGCAGCATCAGGTAACTTCTGAACCTACTGAGAATTTCTCGATTGCATCAGCAGTGCAGAAGAAAACAACATATTCAAAATTTGTTAAGGACAAATCGTGTGAACACTGTAATAAAAGTGGTCATACAATCAATGAGTGCAAATCCTTAAGTTTCACTGTAATTTTTGTGATAGAAGGGGACATACAGAAGATCGGTGTCGACAGAAAAATAATTCTGGAAGGACAAGACAAGTCAATCAACACAATAATCGTGGATATCGATCATCTGCAAATATGATCGATGTTTTTCAGTTGAATACAAAAGAACAGTCACCTAATTCCATTCCAAATTTTTCTTTTGAGCAATTACAACAGATAGCATAAGCCTTATTTGTAATCAATCATCGCCCTTCTGGTAATTCTGACAATCACATCAATGTTGCAGGTTTGTTTCCCATATCTACATTATCTATTAACTCTGCGAGTTCTAATTCATGGATTCTCGATAGTGGAACTACGGATCATATAGTATCAAAATCTTTCTGTTGTGACTGAACCAAAGGTTGTCATCATGTCTACAATAAATTTGCCTAATGGAGAGAGAGCACGTGTGTTACATACTGACAATATTTCTCTTAGCCCTAACCTTAAATTAAACAACGTTTTATGTGTGCCTTCATTCAATTTAAACCTAATTTCCATCAACAAACTTACCAATAACTTGAAATGTTATGTCACCTTCTATCCTGATTCTTGTGTTATGCAGAACTTGGCTATGGGGAAGATAATTGGCTCGGGTAAACAATTTGGAGGTTTCTATCATATTCCTTCATCTCCAATCAAATCTTCAGCTCATCAATTTGATTTGTGGCATTTACGCCTAGGTCATCCTTCTTTTTCTCGTTTTAAATTTCTAGTTCATCAATTGCATCTTAATAATGCGAGTTATTCTCATAATTGTAGTATCTGCCCGTTAGCAAAACAAACTAGGTTGTCTTTCCCAAGAAGTTTGATAACAACCCATTCTGCCTTTGATCTGATACATTGTGATGTTTGGGGACCACATAAAATTCCTACCCATTCTGGTTTGCGTTTTTTCTCACTATGTTGATGATTTTACTCGATGTACTTGGGTTTTTCTAATGCAACATAAGTCAAAAGTACATCATTTGTTAATGAACTTTGTTAAATTCGTTCAAACTCAATTTCATACTACTATCAAGATAATTCGATCAGACAATGGGACTGAGTTCCTATCTTTGCAACCATTCTTTACTTCTTGTGGCATTGAATTTCAGCGCACTTGTATCTACTCCACAACAAAATGGAGTCGTAGAATGTAAGCATCGCCATATCCTAAATGTAGCTAGGTCTGTCCTTTTTCAGTCACAAGTTCCACTTAATTTTTGGGGAGAGTGCATTTTAACGGCTATTTATCTTATAAATAGAACGCCATCACCATTGTTATCTAACAAGACACCCTTTGAAGCACTCTACAAACAACCACCTACATTTCATCATCTTGAAGTTTTTGGTTGTAAATGTTATGCAACTATAGTACATCCTAAGAAAAAATTTGAACCTCGGGCAATTCCTTGTGTTTTCGTAAGATATCCTTGTGGTCATAAAGGTTACTAAGTAGTATGACATGCAATCTCACATTCTTTATCAGCCGTGATGTTAAATTTTGTGAAGATGATTTTCCTTTTTCATCAGCTTCACAAACTTTGACATTGGCTCTTTCGACTCCTGTTGTACCACTTCATGATTCATCCTACTCAAACATCCATCCTCCACCTTCTATTCCTTCACCTCCTATTCCTCCTTCACCTCCTGTCCCTTCACCTACTACTTCGTCTCCTCCACCTTCTCCAGATTCGCCCACTAATTCTAATCCTATCCCACCTGATACATCAGCTCCACTCCGATGTTCTACTCATACTAAACAGCCTCCAGCTTGGCATAAGGATTATGAGATGTCTTCTGGAGCCAATCATTTAACCTCTAGCTCAAGTCCGGGCACTAGTACCAGGTATCCCCTTCATCATTATCTTTCATTCACTCGTTTTTCTCCTACTCAACGTGCTTTTCTAGCTCTTATTACATCCCAAATAGAACCTAAAACCTATGACGAGGCAATTGGCAACCCGTTATGGCAGCAGGCTATGAATGATGAAATTGCAACTTTGGAACGTAACCATACATGGTCCCTCGTTCCTCTACCACCTGGTCATAAAGCTATTGGTTGTCGTTGGGTGTACAAAATTAAATACAACTCTGATGGTTCTATTGAACGTTATAAAAGCTTACTCACTGTTGCTGCTGCTCGAAAATGGTTCACCCATCAGTTGGATGTTCAAAATGTCTTTCTCCGGTCATCTAGACGAGGAAGTCTATATGTCTTTACCATCAGGTCTTCGCCGACAGGGGGAGAATACAGTATGTCAGCTCCATAAATCTCTTTATGGATTAAAACAGGCTTCTCGCAATTGGTTCTCCATATTTTCTACAACTATACAAAATGCAGGCTACACTCCGTCTAAAGCAGATTACTCTTTTTTTACTAAGAGTAAAGGTACTTCTTTCACTGCAGTTCTTATCTATGTTGATGATATCACAATGATCTCAAAAAAATTCAATATCTCAAGACCAGTTTACTCTAGAAATTTCTTATCAAAGATTTAGAAAATTTGAAATATTTTCTAGGCATTGAATTTTCTCGATCTAGAAAAGAAATTTTTATGTCTCAAAGGAAGTATGTTCTAGACATCCTTCAAGACACAGGTCTTATAGGAGCACGTCCAGACAAATTTTCTATAGAGCAAAATCTGAAACTTTCTTTAACGGTAGGAGAGAAGTTGAATGTTCAAAGTAAATACAGACGGTTGATTGGAAGATTAATATATTTGACCGTCACTAGGCCTGACCTAGCTTATTCAGTTCGTATGCTTGGCCAATTTATGCATGAACCAAGAAAACCACATTGGGAGGCAGCTCTTCGAGTTCTGAGATACATCAAAGACACTCCTGGTCAAGGACTCCTACTACCATCTAAAAACAATTTAAGATTACAACCATATTGCGATTCTGACTGGGGTGGTTGTCGAACTTCCAAACGGTCTATTTCTGAGTTCTGCATTTTCCTCGGAAATTCAATTATTTCTTGGAAGTCTAAAAAGCAGACTAATGTGTCTAGATCATCAGCAGAAGCCGAGTATCGAGCTATGAAAAATACTTGTTTAGAGTTAACTTGGTTAAGATACATTCCTTAAGACTTGAATGTTCCACTGTCCGAACCAGCATTATCATATTATGATAATCAAGCAGCATTACATATAGCAGCCAATCCAATTTTTCACGAATGTACGAAACACATTGAAATAGATTGTCATATAGTTCGAGAAAAGTTACAAGCTGGAATCATCAAACCGTGTTATGTTTCGACTAAAATGCAATTTGCAGATGTTTTTACTAAAGTTTTGGGAAGACATCAGTTTGATTTTTTGAAGAACAAGTTGGGTGTGATTGACATATACTCTCCAACCTGGGGAGTTAATATCGTATATCTGAGATATTTTAGCAGTGGTTAGTAGTATATTTTATTTTATTTTTTATTAATCATATATTTTATTTATTTACCAGATTTAGTTAGTTATATATTTTTCCTACCGTTGATAGTTTGTATCCTATTTAAATGGTAAACATGAATGAAAAACTTTCCACCTCAATTCTATTTCTATTTCTCATTCTCAACAAAAAAAAAAAAAAAAAAAAAAAAAAAAAAAAAAAAAAAAAAAAAAAAAAAAAAAAAAAAAAAAAAAAAAAAAAAAAANTTCTATCTCGCCGATTTCGTTCTGGAATCCGGTTCATTTGCTTTTTTGTTTCGCTGCTATATATAGATTTTGAAATAGAGCTTTCATTTCTGCAGCTAAAGGCGATTTTATTGAAGATTTTTCAACTTCGGTGAGTAAATCCGTCTAGACTCGTTCTGCATGCTTCATCTTGTTATTTGCCATTGCGATATTGAAAAAAAAAAAAAAAAAAAAAAAAAAAAAAAAAAAAAAAGCGAGAGATATGATGTCAATAAAGTAATTCCAAGATCCTAAAACAGAACTCATAAAGTTGTCTACAAAACCTGCGGAAGGCAGAAATGGCCATTGTGGGATCCAGTCTGCAATGCGAAGCTGAAATGAAGAATCGAAGAAAAACTCTCTCCAAAATTATAATAACACAAAGGAGAAAACAGGTGCAAGGTGAATATCGTTAGCATCAGCCAATAAAATTTTCTTAATTGGACTCTTCATTTACTAATGTTGAAAATTAATCCAAGAATCTTCTGATGGCCAATTCGAATTAAGACAGAAAGAAGAGTAATAAAGAAGATCAAGAGAAGCAAGACAATTAGGTGTAGAGTGTTCCGGCTTCAGAAAATCAGAGCCTACATCCACTTGCCTAAGGAACCAATTCACTAATCTTTCAGCAAAGAAGATCAAGAGAAGCAAGACAATCAGATGTTGGAGTGTTCCGGCTTCGGAAAATCAGAGCCGACAATCACTTGCCGAAGGAACCAATTCACTAATCTTTCAGCAATAACCTTTTGCAACATCTTATATACATAATTGCGAACCAAACGAGTATCCTTTGAATTTCTTGTCAGGCCTTTGGCCTCACCAATGCACCACCTAGCTTTATCACTTTGATAGAACTAGGTGTTTCATATATCTTGGAAAGTTTGTGGTAGTCTACCGAAACGATGTTGTGGTTCACAGCCCAATGATGGAAGAATACCAAGTTCATTTGAAATTTGTCTTAGAACAATTAAGGGCCAATCAGTTATATGTGAAGAGGAAAAAATGCTTGTTCACGGCAAGAAATCATAAGCTTCTTCAGACAGGTAATCGAGTGTGGGATCCACCTATGGACCTATTGAAAAAGAATAATAGTTGGAGTTGGACTTCAGAGTGTCAAACTGCATTTGAAGAGTTGAAGAGAGTAACAGTGAAGGGACCGATTCTTAGGATTACTGATGTGACTGAACATTTGAAGTAGAGACTATTGACTCAAATTATAGAAGATGTGAAATGACACATGGCATCCACAATTGGTTCAAATTTTGATTCCAAACCTGGTTATGAATGGTAACGAATATTAGCCAGAAGATTAATTGCACAGAGCTACACGAGTTACAAGGAACCCTTTAAGAGGTTATTGGATAGCAAGGAGAAAACAAAGAGTGTTCTATATATAAAAAAAAAAAAAAAACCACGTTGGCTCCACTGGTTGTTATGCATTTAATTATTGGGAGGTCCAAAAAGAAAAACGACACGATCTGAAAAATGATTTCTTAGAGAAAAAATAGATGTCGGAAGCATCTACATCTAGTGCCAAATAGGAACTCTTCCATCATCAGACGTATCGTCTATCTAATATTCTCTGAACAAGTAGCTTGCTCAACATTTAAAACGAAGGCTAAGAACTCCATGGCCAATTTATTGCGAGTAAGATGGTACGATAAGTAATCTAAAGAAAGGTAGCCACACAAGTACCTTTTCATCGTATTTTGATCTAAGCAAACAGGCGTCCGGTTGATTTCATTTGTGGGACTAAAAGGCTGCACAGCACCTATATCATCAAAGCCAATAACGAAATCCTCGTGTTCATGAGTCAAAATAATCTGAAATTTTTTTAAGGGAAAAGCAAAATATCCATAAGGACAGTTAGAGTCAACTTTATGCAAAGAATATGTTCTTATAAAATTGACTAAAAGGAGAATCAATTTTCATAAAAAACAAGTGTTGGCGCAAGGTAGAAATGGTTCAAGTACGTTAAAAGTGTAGATCGAAAAATCAAGACGCAAAGATTGCTTCTGAAAGCCATAAAGGTCGGCAAAAAGAAATAGCGTCCTGATCGTATTTATCTATGCATTTTTATTTTGAAAATTTTGCAAAAAATTATATATAAAAACAGAAGGAGCAAGAGATAACGACTCACAGAATCCATTCAACCTTACGGCGTGTAAACTATCTTAGAGCTTGCTCCCTAAACGTCTTCCCTACATCGATCAATATGTAATTGTTCTCGCCATTGCTTCGGCAATATCAATGAGCAACGATGCATTGCATCTGAAATATATGAAAACTTGGTTTAGCAAACCGTAGCCATGTGCGTATAACGGACAAAACGAGGTCAATTAAACTGCAAGCAACTGCGCCAGTGAACATATACCTAGATCCAGTTACAACTTAAATTGCTCAGTAAACTAAAGAAATTTCAGCCAATGTATCAGAAATCCTCCGTTGAGTCTACTGCCTCAGACTATCGTTTTAAAAAAGAAGAAGAAAACAAACGGAGCAGCGAAATCTAGATGCAATGAAGTTCAAATTCCATACTCCAGAGAGATGACCACAAATCTAGATGCGGAAACACCTATTCCTCTAAACAATCATAATACAGCCTTGAAGCAGACTTACGATCGAGAAATCTGACGAAATCACCGGTAGTTCAGGTTGAGCTTGGGGAGAACCGTCAGTGCCTGAGAGAAGCAAAGGAGGGGGGATCATGAGGCTGGCGAGGCACATCAAAAGAGAGACCGAATTCGAAAACCCTGAGCCCAAGAAGATGAGCGCCGATCCAGTTCCATTGCCCTCGTTGTCCGCAATTCCAATGATCGAGATCTTCCCGGGAGAATCTGCGTCGCGCGAGTCATATGAATTCTCCTCGAGTCCCGCCAATTTCAACGGTCCCGAATATTTTAACCATTTTATTGATAATATAATTGACATTTAATTTAATTTTTATTTTTATGACGTCAATAATAAAAAAACGGTATATAATTAACATTTAATTTTTTTTTATCAATAATTATAATGATATATCAATAACGATAATTCGGTTTTCAAAAAAGAAAAAATATATAGATCATATGAGTTAAAAAAAAAAAAAAAAAAAAAAAAGGTTCTCTAAATTAAAAATTTTAAAATAATGCATCGAATTAAAATTATGTCAAATCCGTATTTGTAATTTTACCCTAATTTAGATCCCAAACTTGCTTACTCTTGCGACAGGGACGCCCTGTTTTGGCGCGAAGTTGAGGAACGTCGACGGAGCGGCAGGAAAGAGTGCCTGCAGGGTTATCTAACCAGTCGATAGTTCGTCAATTTCTTCACTGTTTTCTCCTCCATCACAATGGTATGTTATTCCTTTTTCAATTAGTACTATTGAATTGGAAGAAAGCGAATCGGACTTCATGAACTGACTTATCTAAATAATTTTCAGAACGGTAGAGCTAGTTCTACTCTTTTTGTGAATGAAATTGTCTATAAATGCTTCGATAATTTTTGTTTCCATCCTATAACATGGAGTGAACTTGGCGCATTTGTATCGTTTTCCTCTAGGAGAGATTCGAGTTTCAGTCGTTGATTAAGAACTTACTGCAGTCATATTGATGGGAGAAGTAACGGGTTTGATGATGCAAATGACGAATTTCAGAAAACTGATTCGGAGGATTTCGGAGATTCGAGTTTGCGGATATCCTGATGAGGAATATGAAACGGATCGGCAATTTAAGTTCGGTGGTTATGGAGGCTGAAGAGTCTACTAATGAAGAAGAGGAAGGTGTGGATGTTGATAATGACGGGGATCTTTTGGTGTCTAATATGTCTGATAGAAATCATGGATAAGGAAATGATTTCAAAAGAGTTGAAACTGGTGAAGATGTATTTAGATATCCCTTAGTGAGAGATGCCTGTAAATTGATCCAGCTAAGTTCCTCTTGGAATCGGAAGTTTGAAAGGGAGTTGAGGCATTTAATAAGAAGCCTTAATCTGCCACAGGTTTGTGTTGTTTTGCTCTCTCAGGATGGCAAAAGAAGTGCTTTGATATTCTTCTATTGGCAGATAGATTGTGGCGGTACAGACATGATTCATCCGTGTACTTGCAGGAGTTTAACCTAATTTGTCTATTTGTAAAACTGCAATCCATATTAATGAGTTAAAGAAGGCATTGAGGTTTGCAGAACGTAGGTTCTAATTGGCATTGCTCCAAATGTTGTGAGCTATAACTGTTTGACCAAGCCAACTGATTGCTCAAATGCCATTTAAGGGATGCTCCCCAGATAAAATTAGTTGGTATACTTTCATGGGATTTCTCTGTAGAGACAAGCGGATGAATGAAATTAGGGAGCTGATGAAGAAAATGAGAATGGTTAGTGACTTATTTCCAGGCCATGTTACTTACAATTCTCTAATCCAGATGCTTTCCAAGCATGACCACGGAGATGTGGCTTTAGAGATTCTTAGAGAAGCTGAATAATTGCAATGTAAAATTGACAAGGTCGAGTATAGTGCAATAGTTCATGCATATTGCAAGGAAGGAAAGATTAAGAAGGCAAAAGAGCTTGTTGGTGAAATGTTCTTCAAGGGATGTGCTCCAGATGTTGTAACATGCACCTCTGTTTTTAACAGGTTTTGACGCATTGGGAAACATGATCAAGCACAAAGAGATGATGATGAACACGAGTAAGGAAGAGTGGTGGACACCTAATGCTATCACTTATAGCGGCGTTGTGGTTCATGGGTTACGGTGGGAAGGGAAATTGCTTCTGTCAGGGAGGTGATTGGAAAAGGTTTCTTTCCAAATCTAGTTGAAATCAACTTATTGGTGCAGTCTCTTCGCTGGGATGGGCAACCACGCGAAGCTCAGCAGTTACTCAAGGAGTGCATGAACAAGGGTTGTGCTGTTAACGTAGTCAATTTCTCCACTGTCATTCATGGATTTGGTCAGAAGGATGATTTGGAAGCTGCACTGTCATTGTGGGATGATATGTACTTTTGTAACAAGCACCCTGGTTCTGTGATATACACAACATTAATTGATGCACTAGGCAAATCTGGCCGTATAGAAGAAGCTACTGAACTTTCAACGACGATGCTGAGGCAAGGGTTGGCTCCTTCTCCTGTTACATAAAGGCCTGTCATCCACCAGTATTGTCGAAAGGGTAGGGTAGAAGATTTGTTGAAATTATTGAAGAACGTGATTTCAAACCATATTTAATCTAGTTATTGAGAAACTTTGTAAATTTGGATACCTTGAGGAGGCCAACAGCCTTTTAGGTGAGGTTTTGAGGACGGCTTCAAGAACTGATGCTAAAACTTGTCATGTGCTAATGGAGAGTTATTTTAGTGTTGGAATTCCTATGTCAACATAGACAGTTTCTTGTCGAATGTTCAATAGAAATGTACTTCCTGATTTATTGTTATGTAAGAAGGTCAGCAGGAGACTTCTTATAGGAGGAAAATTGGAGGAGGCCGATAGGCTTGTATTACTGTTTGTAGAGTGTGGTTGTGTTTCGTCTCAAGATCAAAAGCACTTGCAGGACTAAGATTTCTAATAATCTATCTTGGTTGACTTCATGTTTACATCATATTTCTGTGCTGTGAGTTTCATAAATCTGCTTCCAGGTTTCAGAATTCTTATCATTTGCTTCGTGGTCGTTCTTTCTGATATTTTGTTTAGCATGATTTTCTCACTAATGAATATTTGAATTGTTGGATGCATCATGTATTTCTCTTGTAATTTTGATTGAAGGCCAGTGCTGTAATCACCATGGTTGGCCCTATGGCAAAGATTACTTGCACACGCTCATTTTTTAGTTTATGCAGCTCTTAGTAGCTATTACCGAACATTGATGTCCTATGAGTTTTTACCATGCTCTAATTACTGCAGAGCTAGGTAATAGTCTTCCGGAATTTGTTAAGAGTAGATCCGATCCAGTTTATCCAAATACCCCCGTGAGCAAACTACACTGCGAAGGAACAAAGAACGAAAAGAAGATACCTGCTGCTTTAAAGGTTTCAATATCATGTCAGTGTAATAGTTGGCATACATTCAATTTCTTTTTCCTTGTGCCACTGGGGTTGAGTTTTAGGAACTCAAGGGTGTTCTTTTTTTTTTTCAAAATATACGATACACAAACCTGTGAATTAAGTTTCCGCCCCCCCCCCCTCAAAACTGGAATGGGTGTCTATGTAGGTTGGAATTGCATGTAAAACATCCACTTGCATAAAGTTGGCAGGGCAATGAATGATATTTCTTATGGCAAGCTGCTCATTATAGGGTTTGAGTAAGAATGTACCCGGGGTAAATTATCTGTCTCTCTTTGTTTTATGATAAATTTTGCCCCAAATTCGCAATTCGAAGCCTGTACTGTTTCTCCTTCATTGCTGCTGCTACAGGCTGGAAAGAGACCTTAAGCTGTTCCATTTTTTGGCCCTTCTCTAGGTCCTTGTGACCCACTGCCCACATCTGCCCTGAATAAAGTGGTTGGTCCAATAGGATCGAATTTGTCTTTTGATACAATTGCTCTTGATAATTCAAATCTAAGGGAAAAAAATCATTAATGCTATAACTACCTGCTGTTGCGACATTGACTGCTATATGTACAGGCCTATGCATAGCTTAAACGTTAACTGCCGTGGGACTTCTTTTTCAATGACTTGTGTCTACCTCTAAATGCTAGGTTGGGTACTGGAGTGCTCTTTTGAAGGACCCCTAATGTTGATTGGGGGCCAGGAGATTATTGGTGATGGATGGGGAGCTTTCCTTTTCTGTATGACCAATGGGGCCGCAATTTTGGTTCAAGAAAGGCAGCCAGGTACTCCACAAATATTTAAAGGTGTGTAGCTGGAGGACAAAGTTTGTAAAATTGTGATTGAATATAACTCTGGAGATACTTTCTGTCTTTCCCTTTAATTCCAAAATTAATGGTTTAAGCTCTTGAGTTACGACGCTAAACTGTATTAACAGAAAAGTTAAGGCACTAAACTGCATTAACAGAAAATCCTTCAGTTCATTTATTCATCATGGACATTTTGCTTCTAATCCTATATGGTGAATGTTTATTTTGCTGGTTGGTATGCCATGGAGGGCTCAATACGGTTGTGAGACTAAAACAAATAAGTGTCGGCATATGTCTCTTGCCTTGTTGGTGTCTATTGGGTGGAAAACCAGAAGAATCTCTAGACCAATTACCGCTCTTATGCTCATTCAGGAAGAAGATATCGGGAATCTTCCTCCTTTGCTTCAATCTTTCATGACGTACCGATCTTTTTTGCCCGAGGATGATGCGATGCAATTATTGAGTTGACATAAATTTTAAGGAAAGGCTAAGGTCTTTAGCGTTAATGCAGTTAGAACATTTCTTGGATTCTTTTCTTGAAGAGAAACTATCAAAATTTACATTGACAGGGAAGAACTTGGGAAGTTATGTCTCAAATCAAGTCCATATGATTTTAGGATTTGTTCTTCTCAATGTTACCAATTACTCCTAGCAATTAATTTCTATTGAATCTCTGTTTTGTAAACTCCTAATGAGGGAGAACAGTTTTTGCATTTAGCCTTTCAATATACTAATGAAACGCATCTCCTTTTTATTTAAAAGTAAAAGGATGAAGAAAAGTTACTGTAGCAATTGTGGGATCTTCATAGAAGTAGATCAGAGGTTTGATCTTAGATTATATCACTTTATCATCATTTTTTTTTTAACAAAAGATTGTTATTATTATTATTACTATTTTAGTATGCTTAGAATCTACTCTTGAAAGACATTGTAACTAGGCTTGCTTTTCTTTATATTAAGAATAACAGAAAGAATGGCCTACTCTCCTGGCGATCCCAATCTCCAACAAACGAGACAAATTTCTTACTCCAAACAGCATATGTAGCAGCATGGGTCATCAAGGCAATGGTATGGGTCTCATTATTGCTTATACTCTGCAATTTATCTGAAACACCCTTTGCTATCATTCTAGCCAACTCTTTGCAATCCTGAAACTTTTTTGGACTGTGTTTTTTTTTTTTTTTTTTTTTTTTTTTTTTTTTTTTTTTTTTTTTTTTTTTTTTTTTTTTTTTTTTTTTTTTTTTTTTTTTTTTTTTTTTTTTTTTTGTTAAATTATAAACGTGACCTTTATAGTTTGAAGAAAATTATAAAGTCCTTATAGTTTTTAAAGTTAGAATTTTGTCAATACGATACGATAAGACCACATAAATAATCCATATCGTTGAAAGTCATTAACGGATGAAGTACTTTGACAATTATCACATACTCAATCCATTGATGACTTTCGAACAGTAGGGATATTTATGAAATTTTATCCAACTATATAGATGGAAGTTTAACTTTTAACATAGTTCAGGTTAAATTCTAACTTTTTCTAGACCATTGAAGCCAAAAGTGTAGCAGAATCACATTGAGATGCACGTTTCATTTTATTCTTATGTTTGAATATAAAATTGTCACAAATTCTGTCGTCTTTAAACCGAACTGAGATCGACAGTTTTTTTCCTTTTTTTTATTGGTTTTCTTGAATGCAGTTCCAATATTGCAGTGGATAAGATGGAAGTCTAGAGTGATTTCTTCGGCAGAGGTTCCAAAATCCATGTTCATCTTGTGCAAGATGATAGTCGACATGTACTACGCCTGGAATGTCTATCAGTTGAGGTACATCTGAAAATGTCTTTATTGACTCTGTCTTGTTATTTCTGTTACATGTTTGATGTCCTTTTGAAAAGGCTTAGCCTAGTGACAAATGTTTGCCAAATGGGTAGGCCAGAAGTCCTATTATTATCTCCTCAAGGGGTTCTTTTTTAATGTTTTGTCCCCGCACCCCTTCTTTCTTGGGAATTTAAGTTATTCAACAACTGGACTGTAAGGACTAAGTTCTGGCATTCAAGGCATCAAAATCAGAGTCAGTCCAATTTTTTTAAAAAAAATTATAAAAAATCAAGTCAAGTCCAAATGTCAAAAATCGAAGCCAGTTTCCCCCCTTCTTTTTTCTCCAACCAGAGTCAAATCAAATCATTCTCTTCAGTCCCATTCCTAACCAATCAGGGCCTTAAATGTACAATTTTTTAACCTCATTATATAACTTTTTTTTTAATTAAAAAAAAAAAACATTCTCCTGGTTTTTTCTCATCTCTGTTTTTTTTTTTTTCTTTTCATTTTCTAGTTTTTATCATATAAAAAGCAAGACATGTTTCAATATTATATGCTTGATTTGGCTTATGACATCTTATATTTCCCCCACATGCTCTTGGTAGTACAGTACACTGAAAACTTGGCCATCTTACACCACAAAAGCTGAAAAAGAAAGAAAGATTTTCTGCAAAGCAATTGATTCTATTTGCTCCCTTCAATTTAAAAATTTTTATACAGTGAGGGCCATCCAAACAGCCCATAAAGATTTATTATCTTTTGCTACTTGATTACCATTTGAATTGGTAAGTATTTTATTGACCCATGTTCCCTATTCCCTCTGCATTTCTTAGAACCACCCCAGATAATCAGAGATTTAAGGCCCTTCTTGGTTGCTTGTTGGACCAAAACAATTCTTAGTTTATTACAATATTTTATTGACCATGTGGTTCTCTTTTCTTGTTTGCAACACAGCCACACACATCTATATCATATGTCTCAACATTTAACTTTTTCAACAGCAAAAGCTGTGAAAATGAGAGCCACAAAATCCAAAGTTCAGACCTTTTGCTTGGTAAACTCCATATACATTTATACTCTGTAGATGCTTTTTTAGAAATAATGTTAAGAAACTATCTTCCATTTTTATACATGGAGAATCTGTTTTGACAGCGACAAGTTAGGCCCCCTTATTTCTCAATTTTTTGTCTCTAAGTTTTTTAGTCCTTTCAACCAATAAATGTTAAAATGAGAATAACGTGTAATATTCAAATAATATATATTTTTTTTATTAAAGATTCATTTATCTACGGCAGGAAGCAATTTTGGGTCAGGCAAGTTGCCAGAGGTCATGTCATTGGAATGAGCAAATTTTGGATTTTATAGGTAAGAACATCTTTTTATTCAATCTAAACATTGCTTATTTTGTCAAGAAGTTTTAAATTTGACGACAATGAAAAATAAAAACAATATAAATATGGGTTACGATGCTTAGTTTCTTTAGAAACAGAAAATATGGATTATAAGTGTTCGGTAACTAACGAACGATAAATAGATCTTCGTGGAATCGTTCTGAAGATATTTTTTGTTATATATAACTCTTCGTGTAATTGTAATTGTAGTTATCTCTAATGCATAGATTCAAAGAGATGGTTGAGAAGAATGATCATGCTTTGTTGTAAAGAGAGAGAGTTTGAAGCAGATGAATGTGTAAAAGCACACGATGTCTGCTATGAAGGTATCAAGAACCCTTGGCCTCACCTGCCACTTTTTAACATTTTCTCACTTCCAGCTAACTCACTATTCTGTCCATTCCTTCCATAAATAGCTGCAATCATTTTGTGGACTATGTACCTTCATGTTTATTACCATAAAAAGAAAGGAAAAAAAAATCATCATCGTGGTGCTACATAATCGACTCGATTTCTTTTATTTACATTCCTTAGAAAAAGTGAGCTAGTTCAATAAAATTGGGACTTATTTGGCCTATATTCCCACCAACGTGTTCATTCTTCCCTGTGGACAAATCTATTTGGAGGCATACTCTTTTATCATAGAATTATACTCGTTTTTATTGTGACAAAAAGAATCTAGGAAAAAAACACGAGTGATTCTAGACTAGAATGTCGTAAGAAATATCTTTATTTGAGTGGAGGGTTCTAACTCCTTATAAATGATGTTACAATCACTCAAAAATACTTTAGGATGCATTCGAGACTCCTCGTAAATGATGTTACGATCAGTCAAAAATATTTTAGGGTGCATTTAAGAGCGCTTCCAAAATGGAAGTACCAATAACAATTGACCAATTAAACTTTTTAATGAACTAATTGAGAGTCGAAAGTGTTTTCTCACAAAATACTTCACGTCTTGTACTATGAATATTAAAATCTTGAAAGTAAATTTTATATCTTATGTTTTTTTTATTCTAAATTCATATCAATTTTGCCATTAAATCACCACCATTATTTGTATTATTTTGTCGGTATGATTAGACCCTTCAAATAATACACAAATTGGTGGGGGATAAGGAGTGATTTTATAGTTCTAAACAAACCATTTGTGATGATATTGGTTATATTTCCTTGATGGGTTTTCAAATTTCATACTCATTCATGAATTGAGTGAATGGTTAGTATATTTTTTCAACAACTATCTAACCAAATTGTTTGAGTTTCTTTCCCTATGTTACGTGTTCTAACGTCAATAATAAAACTAGGCCCACGCCAGAATTTTCCCCCTCCGCTTCGTGGGCTCCAGCAGCCGCCAGCTCCCTTCCCATGTAAACTTCTCCTCGCCGGAGAAATCTCCTTCTCCGGCGACGGCAGTGCTCCTCTTCCGTTTACTTGCAGCGGCGGCGTGTTTCAAGTGAACTTATCCAGTTAGCTATAGAGAGACTTATTTAGATAGCATTCAACTAATTCTGGACTGTTCTGTCCGCAGGAAAAATCCAAAATTGAGTTGTAGTCGGGTTGTTCGCATCGTCCTGCACAGGAAGAAAGAACACAGAGCCTCGACTCGACCTGTGGATCTACAAAGGTAACGTGAAAGATTGAGCTTGAACTGGCTAACCCAAATCACTTTTCAAACTATACTTCCCTGGGTTAAAATTAAATGAGATGGTTTTGAGGGTATAAATGAAGAATCTATAAAGAGAATTAAGCTCTTTGCACCACTTTTTTTTTGGTGTGGTGACTTAAACCTTCCAATAATGTACAAAATTGATAGAGATGTACAAAGATTTTATTGTTGGAAATAAAGTCACTTGTACTCTTTTGTCCATGTGATTTAGAGGCTTCATTAGTGTACAAAAATTAGTGAAAACACTAATTATGAGAAATCGTTTCATACAACTGTCATTTCGTAGCTATTAGAAGGGTTTGTTTCAATTCAACAAAAGTAACGATGAGAATTTCGTGTTGATTAAACATCTGAAAGAGTTTAGAAGATGGTTTTTTTACTGCATGATAATGTCAAGAACACAGTGACAAGTGGATTAAATAACTTCTCGCATTTGCTTAATGTGTCCCCTTTCTTCGAGTGCTCCGTCTGGTCCGGTGCTCTTGCCACCCACCTGACGGGCTCGGGTTTTGATGGCTAAATGACAAAAGAATTTGGAAGTATTCCCACATGACATACCCCATTTGAACCACCATGAGATTGGGGTTGTCTTGGGTTTGTATCTCGAAGGACAGTAGGTACTGACCAAATGAAGTGTCCTCAAGCAGATGGCTGCCCACTTTTGTATTGTTGTTTTGTTGCTATCATATCTGTCCCAACTCTCTTGTTTCTTTCCTTATTTTCATGTCCTTCTTCCATTTTTAGTGGCCTAAGATCTTTCTTCTCCCTTCAAACTTTATCAACCTCACAATTTTTTTTAGCTTTTTGCCTCTTCTTCATGTTGAGTTCATCCCATTTTTTCATTTTTCGATTCGTTTTACTTCTGGGTTCGTTTGAATATATAAAAATCTCGATCCTTTAAATAGTAGCTCAGGGTTACTATACTCTTGTTTTAACGAATTGATTGAAAATATCATCTCTTAAATAAGTGGTTTAGTATTTATCCACGCACATGATTTTGATTTTCGTTACAAAATAAGGAAAAAAACGAAAAGAATTAAAGCTGTGAAGCAAAAAGATTTCATTTCTGACACGATGAATAGCAAGTGAGGGGAGGTGGAAGGTGTTGTCATTTGGCATAGTCAAATGAGACATTGGCTATGTCTTCATTTGTTTTTATTCCCGTTTTCATCTCCGAACATTTCATTTTTTTCACATTGTAGTGTGGTTGTCGTTGTCGTTATTGTCCTCTTCGATTTTGTTGTTAGGGTTACTGTCATTGTTTTTAACATCATTATCAATGGCCACGATGACACTGTGCCTTTAAAATATTTCACGAACCAACAAAAGGTATCTTGAAGATCGAAAAAAATGAGTAATATTTTGTAACTTCAAAAATGAAAAGTAAACAAAATAATCGTTATCGTTTTATAATTTCAAAAATTTTATTGTTCATATAGAAAGATCAATATCACGAACGCGTTTTTTTTTTTTTTTTTTTTTTTATGTAATTGTGTAATGTGTTTTGAAATAACATAACATAAAATGAATGATTTACCAACAAGCATACAAGTGGGACAAGCATATAAGAATTCAAGAAGATAGACATTAAATGGATAATGCTAAATGTTGCATTTTTTGTGTTTTGTATTTGTGTAACGTCTCGCTTACATAAAGATATTTTATTTAGATCGAGATTGAAATATGAAAACGTGATGAAATAATATTTCACGATTAAGATTCTAAGGTTCGGGACTATGTATAAACCTATATATATAAAAGTAGAGTAGTATTTTAGACCGAGTTTGATAGTTATGTTTTTTTTTTAAAAGAAATTGTGCATATTGCTTAGAAAACACATTTGAATATATATTTTTTTTTTTGTTAAATACTCAAAATAATTTTTAAAAACAAAAAAATGGAATAGTTATCAAATAGGATCTTAATTTTTTTTTCCCTTTTTGCTCGGGTGTGATTTTGAATTGACTTACAAAACCGACACGATGAACCTGTTGGTAAACATCATTAGTATTTTTCAAATTTTATTTCATGATTCGATTAATTAACTCACTTTTTTTTATTGTTTTATATTTTTATTTATGGACCTCTTCAGTAACAAATCATATATAATTAGTATAGGTTAGGGCTACTATTGCTCGATAATTTTTTTTGAACAATCTTTCCATAGTTTCTCTCTCATTAACATATTTCTTATGAAGTTTTCTCTTCACTTACCCGTGTTTTTCAAATATGTATTTCTCATTAATCAAAATATCAAAATTTTAATTTAACTAAAATCGTTCTACATTGTTTTTTCGAGAACTTAATTTTTTTTTTTTAAGAATATTGATAAAATAAAACTTTTAATAGTTCAGACATAAATAAAAAACATATTATTTTATTAAAAAAAAGTTACGAAGAAGAATGGTGAAAAAAATATTTAATAATCATATGGTTAAAAGAAAAATATTTTATTAAGAAAGAGATATTTTCTAATAATTGAATATTAATTGTGAAATGATATTATTATATAGTTATTTATTGAACCACTAGAAATGTATTTTTTTGTTTTTTTTTNTTTTTAATTATAATTCTAAAATTTAACTAATTATTAAGACTCAATGTTGTGTAAAGAAGGGGAAATGATCACCTTTTATAAAGCTCCTCTCTTTTTTCATTCTTCTATATATATAAAAGCTTAGTACACTTTCTTGGCACAGTATATTCCGGCGACTAAGCTCCCCTTCTTGCCGGTGATTTTTCCAGTAGATGGACGAATCTTGGAGGATGAGGATGGGGATGCCGGACCTCCCTCATAGGCGATCGACTGAAAGCTCGTCGATTCGGTCCTTCTCCAAAGGTGCCAGAGCTCTGAACCATCCCGACGACTTCTCCGACGTCTTTGGCGGCCCGCCGCTAAGTGTCCTCTCGCGTCAGTCATCTGGAGAACTCGGACACAAGCAGTTCGATTTCTTCTACGAAGAAATGTTCCGACCGCCGGAGTTCTTCTCGTCTGCAAAGAATGCTGGTCGGAGCTTACCGGTATTCAGGATTCCGTCAGGAGGCGAGGGGTTTTACAACGATATTTTCGGATCCGATCACGAGCGGCGATCGATAGGTAAGACGAGGCAGAACTTGAAAGGGAAGACGAAATCCAACTCGTCGTCGGTGTTGAGCTCCGAGGAGGCGAGCCCTTTCCGGCATGTAAGCGGAGACGACGTCGTGTTATCCTCCTTCGCTGCGAAGCTCAGGTACGTGGCTATTCGGTATCGGTCTTCCTGCTCAACTACTTTTGGGATACATCAATTTATTTTGACGAGTTTTCCCTGTCAGTGTGGCTTGGTTTTAGCGGGTTTATGGGGTTGTGGACAAATATAAGGGTTTAGGGTACGTCGTCTTCTTGTGTATCAAAGTTCTTCTGAAACTGATTGCTATTTTGTCTGGAGGCTGAGATTTGCATTTGATTCTGAAAAGCTCTATAGTATTCTTGGCAATCCACTTGGAACAAGAACAGTGTTTTGGTTTGATTATTCCCCTTTTGTTTGAGATTTCTTTCTTAAACTTGAAATTCACGCAGTCATCAGTTGATTAGTTTTAGAACAGGGTGGTCTGAGTTTTGTTGTAAAAAACAAGCAACTAATGATTTGTGGGTATCATTGATTGTTTTGATGTATTAGGCCTATCAATATCCCAACAAAATTGAACTCGTCAAAGATGAAACCAGAGGAGCATCAAAAGAAACAAGGGATGTCGTTCTTTTCATTCAACCGTTCTTCCACCATGGAAAACCAGTACGTTGATGGTGAAGTCAAGGAAACTTTCAGGAGCTCCTATTCGGGGTTCCCTCGGCCGGTGTCGTCACCGGAAACTATTAGCCTTGAACCAACTTCGTACAGGAGCATGAAAATATCAGTGGATGATTTAGAACCTAATTCCCCGTCATCTGCAAGCTCTTCACTGTGTCAAGAGAAACATGATATTCAAATAAATATGTTGGCAGATGAAGATGACGAAGTAATGAGCTCTTATGTCATTGAAATTGGTTCTGATTACAGAGAGGGAACAAACGAAGCAGCTGCACTTGATGAAGTCATTGCATGGGCAAAAGAAAAGTTTAATACACAGACTTCTGAGACAGATTTGAGCACAAGGCTGAATGATAGTCAACAATTTGTTGAAACTGAAGGTACTTTCACCATTTCTTTGTTCGACTTAACTATTGTTCTACATTGGAAATCAATGAATAATTTTCATTGGTAAAATCTAGCAGGGCCTTCTGTTTCATTTGAAATTTCTGGTGAACGGTTCGGGGTTCATGACATAACACAATCTGCAGAGGTAAACTCCTGTTTCTCAAAATTTTATCGTTCTAACGACAACAGGAAGAAATAGTTGAGATCATCTAAAATATGAGAAACAGCTCATTCCAGTCTAGATCATCCAACAATTGTTTCGGCATAAAACAAGTTTCGTTTTTCACTATTCTGTATTTTCAATCGCTGAATCCATTCCCTACAAAATGAAGGAAAATTTTGGTTTGGTTTGCTACTAGTTCAAGTTTTTGACATCTTCTCTACGTATATTTTCTTTTGAAGGTAGAAGAAAGAATGTGTTCAGCTGAAGGGGAAAAGGCAGAGTCTGAAAAAGATGTAAGCTTCTGCTATTAATGAAACTAAAATAAATTTGTTCTTTGGGAACGAAAAGGTTCATGGCCTTGACACAATTAAATTCCCAACACAAAACATGCCAGAATCGGTTTTCTTTATGGATCTAGGCTTGACATTACTGCCCACAGTCCCTTTGAAAGGAGAAGATTTTGATGTGTAATTGCGTTGTGAATATTTCAGATGGAAATGGAGGATATAGATGAAGATATAATGTTGTGGTCATCCGGCAAGGAAACCAACATCCGGCTCCTACTTTCAACACTCCACCATGCAAGAGATTTTCTTTTCTCATTTTTTCTAACGCTGCAATGACATGAAGTTGATATGCAAATTGACATAATAGTTTTGCTAACAAATTATGCAGATTCTATGGCCCGGAAGTGGCTGGCATGTCACTCCACTTGCAAGCCTTATGGAGGGTACAAAGGTGAAGAAAGCTTACCAGAAGGCAAGATTGTGCCTCCACCCAGACAAGCTGCAGCAAAGAGGAGCAACGGACACGCAAAAATATGTCGCTGAAAAGGCTTTCACTATCCTCCAGGTAACATTTTCTTTGCAGTCACTGAATCATCTATCTAATATCATATCAATTCAGAAAAACCAAAACGAATCAAGCCTTATTTTTTGTGTCATGATCATAGGAAGCATGGACAGCCTTCATTTCCCAAGATGCCTTCTTTTAATAACGGAGGCAAACCTTCAAAGTTCAGTTTACTGGAAGTTGAAACTACAAGGGATAGGGGTAGGTCAGGACCATCAATTGCTGAAATGTCCAAGCCTGGCTGGACGGATTATAGCAATAGATCTGATTTGCTTGCAAGAGTTCTACATGTTCTTTTGGATGATTAAAGCATATGAGCATATAGAATGTCGGGTATAATTGCTTCTTGGTGTACTGTCTGTATCTGTATGTTTGTAAATTTTGAAGGTGAAATATAATTTGTTTGTTCATTATCTTGTTGTCTCTGTAAGTTGAGGAAGAAACAGAGAATAGACTCAATATAGCTACTTTTTTGGTCCTCAGAAAAGGATGAACAGTCGTTCGAGTTATATTAGCTAGGCAAACACCTTCAGATCATACAAACAATATTCGATTGTTGAACTCAAAGGACCTATTTTCAGTACCATTTGGTGCTCTGACAATTTTTAATCCTATAAAGAAGACGGTGAAAAGAAGAACTCGATGTGGAGTCTAACCTAAACAAAGAAGCTGTGGAGAAAATTTGCAGTAATAATAAGCAGACAAGGTCTAATTATCAACAATTTCTGCACTCTCTTCCCCAACAATCATACAGCCAAAAAACAAACAAAAACGAAGCGTCATTTACCTGCCGATCAGATTCCAAGGGATACAAGAACTGGACAAGTATCCGATCGATGAGAAATAAAGCACCGACAACAGGAGCAGTTTCTGGAAAGCCTCGGAATCGGAGAAACCATCCTGCGCCTCCCAAAAGCGCCGCCACTGAAGACCTTATGATCTGACGACGGTGTAATACTCGAAAGTGAACGCGTTCATCCTACCACGAGTATTATGAATCTATGAACTGGGCTCGTTTTGTACGAACAACCTCCGTGAAGATCCTGGTTTGGAATCCACCATTGCTGCAGAGTTCTTCTGTCTTCTTATCTTCTTTTCTTTTTTTTTATTTTTATTTTTTATTTTGAAGTCTCATCTATTTTAAAATTCATTATAAACATTATAATATAGTTTTTTCTTTATGAATTTCCCAAAAAAGAAGGCTCTTAGAAGGTAAGAAAATGCAACATTCCCAAATTTAATTATAATAGAATAAAATAAAAAATTTAAGAATAAAAAATTGATACTGAGTTAAAAGTTAAAAAGATAGGAATTAATTAAAAATATAAAACAATGATAAATAATTTTGGTCCATTTACTGCTAATTTCAATTAAAAAAAAAAAAACCTGAATGTTAGCTCTCTCTCATATAGATAGATAATATTCTTTGATTATAAATTCATGATCATTTTTTAAATTAATGACGTGCATGTAGAAATTTTAATTTGTTAGCAAAAATAGTGTTAATACTATATAAAAAAAAAAGCTCGAATATCAAAATTTTAAATCCTATCAATGGTAAGTATAGTGTAATTTGAAGAATTTTTCATCAAAAGTTTAAATTAATTTTTTTTTTTTGGTGGTAAAATGTAATCCCGCTTGGTTTCCCTCCATTCTGGTTGGAAGTTCTGTTTCTGTCTAAAACCCTAGCGCTGCAGGGTTTTTGATTCTGAAGCTTTGTCTGTGAGACAATGGTGGAGAAGCAGAAGCGAAAGAGCATTCCTGTTCTACCATGGATGCGAAGCCCTGTGGATGTCTCTCTATTCGAGGAATGCCCTCTTGAGATCCTCCCTTCGCTCGACCCCAGGCAGTTTCCTCTTTCTTCCTACTCATTTGAACTTTCAATGCCTTTCTATCTTCGAGCTTTCCTCTGGTCTATGGCTTCAAAGTTACTTCTATTTCTTCTATTTGATATTCATCATATTTAGCACTCCGTTGGATGCAAGTGAATCTATTGTTGGTTGTCTCTTTGAAGATTTGGCGAGTAGTAAAATGTTGTTTACGTTTAAAAGAGCACAGGCGTAATAGTAATATATATACGTGAATTGTATCGACAGCAATTGAATGTTCGCTTATTCTTGTATTGCTTAGATTATCAAGTTTTATATTCTTGTAACGACCTCTTCCTCAAGGGTCGATTTTTAACGTTTTTTTTTTTTTTTTTTTTTTTTTTTTTTTTTTTTTTTTTTTTTTTTTTTTTTTTTTTTTTTTTTTTTTTTTTTTTTTTTTTTTTTTTTTTTTTTTGTAATCATTTTGTTTCCTTTGCTAGATTGAAGGCAGCTTTGCAGAACATGGGCATCTCTTCACTGTTCCCAGTGCAACTTGCAGTTTGGCAAGAGGCGATAGGGCCCGGTTCCTTTGAGAGAGATCTATGTATTAATTCACCAACTGGAAGTGGGAAAACTTTAGCTTATGCCCTACCGATAGTGCAAATGCTTTCAAGTCGTACAGTCAAATGCTTACGTGCTTTAGTTGTGTTGCCTACTCGTGATCTGGCCTTGCAGGTATTTTTATTGCCATTACTTTTTTTGTATGCATAAATTCATGTCACAAGTTTCCGGTTTATTGGTTTGAAGTGCACTATTTTAGTATAATGTAGGTTCATTCTAAAATCTGTCCAAGAACCTTGCCAATGAAATAATAAAATATGAAAATGAGAGCAGACTTCTTTTTCTGGTTTTTGGATTGACTCTCACCTGCTTACCATTCTAATATGAATACGTGCTTATTTTAGAAGAAAATTTTCTTCATGTTCTTATTGGGGTTATGGCTCTCTTTAACAAGGTGAAAGAGGTTTTTGCTGCGATTGCACCTGCAGTGGGCTTATCTGTAGGTCTGGCTGTGGGTCAATCCTCCATAGCAGATGAGATTGCTGGTCTCATCAAGAGACCTAAGCTTGAGGCGGGCATCTGTTATGATCCAGAAGATTTTTCGGTTCAGCTGCAGAGTTCTGTGGACATATTGGTGGCAACACCGGGAAGATTGATGGACCATATTAACTTCACGAAAGGGTTTACTCTTCAGCATCTATGTTATCTTGTAAGTACTCATAGCGTTATTATAACCTCAGATTTGTAATTACATTTACATTGGAGGAGGCTTAATGCTGATGCCATATGCAGTGGTGAATGTCTTTTGAAAAGGAGATATACTGTGTTATGTGATGGTCTGGATGGACCTAGTCACTGTTTCTGACTAAAATTTAATGTAAATTTGTTCTCATTACAGAAATTATACGTTTCGCAGTCTGCAAGTGTTTCTTATTAAATAAGCTGATTGAACTATAGCCTAAATCAATATTTCTTTATTAGTATGAAAATTAATTTTTAAAAATCAATATAGCTGTGATGGGTGATTGAGCCTACATAATTTCTTTTCTCGGGGAATTTTTCTCTATTGTTGATTGTATCCTGCTCAGTGCACACCAAAACAAAACTTCCTATCTATTTATTGAGTCTACTTCTTGTCTTACTTCATCTTGAAGTCATCTCTCACCTCCTTATTGTAATTATAGTTTATCTACCCTACAATCTTAATGGAGATGTTTTTCGTGATTATCTTCGATAGGACTATCTTTTGTATCTATTTCATACATCAATGAAATGGTTTCTGTTTCCCATAAAAAATGTTGTTATATTTTGAATTGTTAGCCTATGTGCTACAGTTTTATGGAGAGCTCACCACCCTCTCGAATTGGTATGCTGTTGTGCATTGTTATTCTGAATATTGAAGTAATCTCATTGTGAGGAGAAACCTTACAAATTATTTTAACTTGTACCAAAATTTTGTTGTCTCAATACAATCTGTTGATGAGATATGTGATTTCAGGTTATCGATGAAACTGATAGGTTATTAAGGGAATCATACCAATCTTGGCTACCTACTGTGCTTCAGTTGACGCATGTTGATGATGAGAATATTATCTTTCCTTCCTACACTTCACTTCCTTGTTCTGCTGGATTCTTAAAAACCATAAGGAGATTGTAAGTTTTAACTTCTCGTAATTATGGTTATACTTTTCAAGTATTTTACATAATTGTTATTACTAATCCTCCTAATCATTTTTAACTCTGACACATTTTGGTTTTCTCAAAATGTCCTGTGGTATAAAACTGTAGTCCTGATTGCAGATACTGTTGAATTAATGCAGTGGTATAGAGAGGGGTTTTAAGGGTGCATGTTACCCAAGGTTCTCAAAGATGGTTCTATCTGCAACGCTTACACAGGATCCAGGCAAGCTTGCTCAGCTTGATCTGCATCGCCCTCTATTCTTAACTACTGGGAAAAGAAGATACAAACTTCCAGAGAAATTAGAATCATACATGACGGTAAATTGGCTTGTCTCATAATTAATCTGGGATTGAATCAATTTTTGGGTGCTCGTTTAGAAAGGAAAAAGTGTATGCTTAACCATAGAAATGGGACACCCTTGATCTTAGAAGGGGATTTCACTGACCTTGGGATTTGGATGCCATTTGAGTTCTTAAACAATCGTACTTGTTGATTGTTGACAACAGGATCCTAGGAGATATATTTCCCAACTGTTAAGTTTGCTTCATTTCATATCCATCGTCAATTTCCATAATGATAGATCCTATAATTATTGGTTCTATTTATATCTTTTATATCTTCTTGTTGTATCAAAAAAGTTACTGTTCCATGTGAAGAAACGTTCGTCAATTTCATGATACACAACTCAGTCTATATAATTTTCTTTCTTTCTTTTCCTTTTTCTTATAGAATTTTCTAAGCCTTTTATCCTAAGCCTTTTATCCGTACCTTCCCTATCACCTGATGTTAAACCAGATCACTAAATTTTTTGTCTTGGCTTCTCTTAGACCTTAGTCAATGGCCAATACCATGACACTTGGACAATGATGATAAAGGGGATAATGTTTCATAAGCTTTGTTTACATAGTTAATACTTCTTTATCAACCTTTTGGTTTCAAATTGTTTCTTCGCAGATTTGTGAATCAAAACTCAAACCATTATATCTGGTTGCCCTACTTCAAAGCTTAGGAGGTGAAAAGTGTATTGTTTTTACATCCTCTGTGGAGTCTACTCATCGACTATGTACATTACTAAACTTCTTCGATGACTTGCAACTCAAGATCAAAGAGTATTCAGGGCTTCAACGTCAATCATTGAGAAGGTAACACAGGAAGATTGTTTTTTAGCTTAAGTGTGTTCTTCCCCATTTAAGTATTGCCAGAAGTAATTGAAGCATGTGAAATATGAAGCCTAAGACTTATCTTATTTTCTTGGACTATGGTTCATGGACTTCGTAGTCGGCCCTACTTGTTTTCTTTGCCACAAACTTCCGACATAAGAAATTATAATGTTATAATGTAGAATACTGCTTCAGATTATTCTACAATTAAATGTGGACCAGGTCTGTTTCGTAGAGTGTTTTCTTTTTACTGGAAAATGCTGATATATGTATATGAAAATCTGTCTTTAATTGACACTCTTTAGCTGACTTTACATCGATGAGCATTTTTGTCCCATGGAGATCTTTATGGGTTGCTGTATGTACCATTTATCATTTTAATCTCTGGACATGTTCATATTTGAGCATAACACAGTTTTGCTTTCATTCTCTCTGCTGTTCATTATATTGCTCTACCTGGTGTTTAAATTGACATACGTTCTGCAGCAAAACGCTGAATGCTTTCCGGGGAGGGGAGATTCAAGTACTTGTTAGTTCTGATGCCATGACTCGTGGAATGGACGTTGAGGGTGTGAGAAATGTTATTAATTATGATATGCCTGCGTTTATTAAGACATATATCCATCGAGCTGGTCGGACTGCAAGGGCTGGGCAATCTGGCCGCTGTTTCACATTGCTGAGTAAAGATGGGGTATTTTATGATCAAACCTCCATGACTAAATTATACTATTAACATACATAGCTTGCAATTAATTCTTCTGTAAGTCTATGCCTTAATCAGCGACGAATTGGCTTTATTTCTTCACTTTTGTCCTCTGGCTGCCATCTGGGTTAATTTTTTTTGGTTAAATGAACACGATTTCATCTTTGTAGTTTTCATGTACATATAATAAAACAGTAATACTATTTTACCTTGGGCTTTATACAATGCTATGGTAATGCATAAACCATAAAGAAATACTTACTGGTTTATAATTTAGTTAAAAGGTGAAATCCTGTTTGGTTTGAGCTTTCTTCGTTTCTGATTGAAAATGATAATGTTGAATAGTTGAGCTATATATCGTACTCCAACTTGCTTATTCTTAGGTTCTTATGTTTCAGGTTCGACGTTTCAAGAAATTACTACAAAAGGCTGATAATGATTCTTGTCCCGAACATTCTCTACCTTCTAGTTCAATTGAGTTGCTCCAGCCTACTTACGTCTCTGGTAACACGTCATCTCTTTTGATTATTCAGTAAAAACTGCCTTATCTAGCTGAAGTAATTGAAGTTGTTAGGCCCCATAATTTTGTTAGAAAAGGGAATAGGTTAAACTTTAAAAACCGAATTGTTGCAAATTCCTTTATTTTGTGCATCAAATCTACAATGCTGTTTCCACATATTATCCCAGGATTAATTTGTTGGGAGGACGTGTTGTTTTCAATGAAGCTGTTGCATAAATAAATAAATAATATTCTTTTATTTTTTTTCATGTAAATGGTTTCTAAATGTTTTGTTCATTTTGATTCCTAATGATTAACAGCCCTGGAGAAACTAAAGGAAAAGGTTGAATCAGAAAGATCCAGAAAGAGCACAATCATGTCTTCTAGAGTTGGCAAACGGAAAGATACGAACTCCAATGAAAAGGTTGGTATTAACAATCAAGCTTCTCTGAGAGAGTAAAGTCCCATTTTGTAATTTATGAAAAAACAACTTGAATTGCTAGCTGTGTTGGGAAAGATTAAATGGCAGGCGTGATTTAATGTTTATCCGTAGCGTAAAACAAAAACGCCACTACTTAATCTTCCTTGTTCCTTTGACTAATCTGCATTGAAACTAATTGACTGAATGACAGTATTCTTAAGCATTAGAACATTACAAAATCCTCATTAAACTCGACTAATTATACATATGGTTTCATTACAGTCTTAGCAAGTTCACTGGAAACTGTGCAAGTACAAATTTCCGGGACTCAGCCCACAAGGACATGAAAATTTAACTACAGGAGATGGTGATAGTGCCTTTAAGGCTTATTATTTTCACTCGAGATTACACATTCAATTATTCAACGTGGAGAAAGATCTATTTATGTTTCTAACGAAGTACCTAGAATTGGCACTAACAGTTGTAGGAGCAGGGGTAGTTGATGGTGGACTTATTGGGGAAGCAGGATACTCATACTTGCTACAGTCTCTCTCCTCTTCACTGATGGTGTCCAGCACTTTCGACGTCCGGCGTCTCATGACACTGATGATCTGTGGTGGCGCAACTTCAGTAACAAACCTTGCTATTCGGGAATTCGCCATTTTCTTTTTCTTTTTTGGAGTTTAAGGTGTCGGAGGATGATGGTTGAGAATGTTGATGTTCTAGGAGCACAGATTGGGCTACTTAAGAGTGAATGCAAGCTTTTGAGTGATATTTGCGATGGTCTGCTTAGATTATGAATTGAATGCAAGTCCTGATCCAGGGGATTCCTTGAAATCAATAATTTGGCATTAGGTGGTGTAGCATAGTACAACCACCACTGATTTTTTTTTTTTTTTTTTAATGCAGTTTCCCCAACGTCTGATTTCTTTCCCAGACCTTCTAGGGGATTTAACTTGTGGTATTTGGAGGTATAGTCCAAAAATTGCTGGGGCCGATGGCTTTTGCATTTGCCCTCTTCAAAGATTTAACTATGATTGGCAAATCCACTTGCCACGTTTCTGAACTTTTTGGCCGATTGTATGTTGATGTTGACAAATTGTCTTGTCAGTTACTACATTGTGCGAAACATTCTGACAAGTGTCAGAAGCTTCATGGGTACAGGATTGCTGAACGAATTGAACAACAATATTTATTGATGTTGGGAAGATACCGAGATCCCATTGGGATCCAAAATATCTATATTGAATTATTGGTTGGTTGAAGATTTTATTTCCCTTTTTTATCTGGAAAGGAAAACGTGAAGTTCATGAAATTCAAGCAATTTAAATTGCCCTCGAGTTACGTTTATTTAATTCATGAAGCAAATTGAGCAAGAGAATAAAACATTAAAAGCTTGAAGCTTCTGGAGGCATCGAGACAATTGTCTAAAGACCTATTGTTAATCATTTGAGTTCTGTTTCTCTTTTCAAATTTAAAATTGTTTTGAATATTGTGATGTTATTTTGAGTCTTTGTAGATTTAAATCATAAAATTGGAAATTTGGAATTCCACTACAAAATATCATGTTAGAAATGTCCATTTAATACATCTGTGCTGTTTATGGATCGAGCTAGTACAAACAAATTTACAAAGAAAAATGGTTCCCACATTCAACCCTGGCAATATTGAAATGTTTGTTTATCCAGGATTGAAATGAAAAGATAACCGGCTAATGAACAGTCACGCTCCAACGAGTATACCTAAATCATTCTTTCTTTGTAACTTACACCCCATAAGAACAAAACGTGTGCTCGATTCTATGGAAACCTTCTGCTCTAGTTCCTTAACTCGAACCAATAAAAACCATTAACCAGAACTGCTTCTTTTAATCCAAGTTGAATAGTTTGTTTCACCATAGGGCCTGCCAAAAAAGGCAAGAAAGAAGAATAAAGGACCAGCATGTAAGTTAAATCCCCTCCAGTAGTCTAAAGCAAAGAAAAAGACCATAAGTTCTTCAAGCATAAGCAGGATAGTAGAGACTAGAGTAGTCATTTTAAATCTTACTTCAGCGTGAAAATTTAATAAGACCAGTGACTAGGTATAATGCGGGTCAACAAAGATGTGGGTGAAATATCACCGAAAGAATGGACAACGCTTTGGAATATTACCTCGATTTCATGTGTAACAATGTGAAGAAAATAGAAATCAAGAGCGAAGAAGATCCCACAAAAATGTAGGCAACTCCAAGGAAATCATTTCTTCCCCCCAACCAGCTTGATGTTGAAATGACAAGCTTCTTTCTACCACCAAAGCTGTAACTATTGTAGTTGTTCATTATCTTGATATCTAGAACATCATCAGCATGCAAATCTTCTTCAATTCTACCATATAACTTTCTAAAGCTTGGAAGAGCAGCAGCGCGCATCCAGACAATTAGATCTTCATGATCACTCAACTAGCATATGAAACAAGACCAGCAACACAAAAGAAAGGAGCAGTATAAGCTATTTTTTTTTGTCACAACCAGTTCATTTCAAATGGAATAAGAAACCAAGGGAACTGAATATTTAACCACCAGCTTGATTAATCCACATGAATGTGTGTGTATATATATATATATCAAGAAGCCCCTACGAGTCTACTAATTCAATTAAAATAGTAATACATATGAAGATCCACACCCGAGCTTATATCTTAGTCCTACTTCATTTCACAGTTCACATCATGAGATTATAAATGGATGCTAGAAAAAGCCTACCACGTTCACCCTGGTATTCCTCACTAGACTATAAATCAGTCTGAAAGTCTACAATCACGGTTGAACTTACTGTCTTCATTCTGAATTCATATTACAGAAAAAGCCTCGCTTGATAACCTCTTGGAAAAGTCAGGGTACACTTTGATTCTTAACTTAAATCTGGGAGAAATATGTGCAGGTAATATTATCCAAAAGAAGACACTCTTAGTTGGCTCCTGCCTAAAAATTTGCTGCTTACGGATACAAGATGAGGAAATTCAGAGCCAAATATTTCTACACTGTTCCTATTTCAAAATTTAGTTTGGCGTTTTCCGGCAGTAAGTGTCTACATTTTCCAAGTAGCTTCTTGCAAACCATCTGTTCGAAACGAAAGCTGAGGTCCTTAGGGACAAATGGTATCATATGAACTGCATGGGAAGTTGGGATGGAAAGAAAGTCTATAATTTTCATGATACATCTAAAGATGGCAAAGAAAGTTGAGAAGTTTTAAATTTAAAGCTTGCCTTGGAGCTCTTCAAAAATTTGCTGATAGTTTTTATTCCTCTCGAGATTTTGTATCTCTTGAACAACATTCACTTTTCATCTTTTCAATGAAAACTTCCGTCTCCTTTTTTCTTTTAAAAAAAAAAGGAAAAAAATTATCTCGCCCTGCCTTTGAGCCCCAAGCCCAAATTCTTTCAGACAACCACAATAAGCCCCTTAGTCGTATCAGAATACTAAATGATTCTAATATAACAAAGAAGTAATATGTACGGACCATTTGATACTGGGTATACTTGTAGTACTTACAGGAATATTTGGATCTAGATTTCCTCCTCCAATTAAGGTTCCATTTTGGAAGTTGAAAGGATATACATGCTTTCCAAATTTATGCTCACGGTCACTTTTCCATGCAATGTTCTTCCTGTTCACCTTCAATTCAGAACTCCCAAGGGCAAACATATATGTGTCATTGAACAAACTCCATGCTATCAACCCACAAGGAACAATTGGAAGACCATTATGCGACTGTATTGGTTTGCAGGAACTTGTATCGTTGTAGGCCAGTCCATGTAAGAGCTGCTTATCACTTCTGCTTTTGACATACCTGAAATTTAGGTATAGTACAAGATTAAGTGCCTGAGGGCAGTGAACATTCAGACATAGCCAATATTTCAGACTGGAGATGATACAGGTGAAATAATACTTAATGAAATGAGGTAATTTAATATAAAATCAAGCATCCTTACATAGAACAGAAGGTTCTTACCTTCGGTGGTTTTGATAGTAGTTATCTAGTTGATAGTAGATATAAATTGGAGCTTTCATAGTTCTGTTGACCTATAAAAGTATTAGAATAAGATGAATTGCAAAAAAACATAACATAGAGCAGAAGTAGAGTTGGAGGCTTAGAAGCACTGACGCTTCAGTTTGGGAAACATCCTTGTGTCCGACATGGTAGGACACTCCAACACTTTGTTGGATACTTGTTAGCACACCATGCATGTGTTAGACACTAGTGGTATAAAGTGAATATGAGTCAAACTTTTATTTTCTTTTGATGAGAAACAAGTTCATTGATGAGTGAAATTTACAAAAGAAATGGAAACCAATCCAACCAATCCAAAGGAGCTAGAGTTACAAAAAAAAAAAAAAAAAAAAAAAAAAAAAAAAAAAAAAAAAAAAAAAAAAAAAAAAAAAAAACTGAAATTGGACAAAAGAATAGCATAACTATGAGACTGAAAAAATAGTGAGAATTTACAGCCAGAAGCAGAGAGAGCTAGGTAGACAGTATTTTAAAAAATCCTATCATAATCCTGTTCTTTTTCAATAAAAAGCCTTTGGTTCCTCTCAATCCATAAAGGCTTTGATGATGGTGCACTCAAAAGAGCTTCATCTCATTTTTTTAAAGACTCCAGCAGCGTTAGGCACTGCATAGTAATGGACATAAATAGTAATATAGGACAAAGATAGTAAAGTTTAAGAGTGTAATACATTAAACACCAGATCAGCTTGTATATTCTATATCTACTGTTGACGCACAAAAAATATATTGAATGGAACGATGATCAAAGGAGATTCTGAATATAAGTGTGCCAAGCACAGAAAATAAGCATACCTTTAAGGATGCAGAACAAAGTTTAGGAGATGAACTATCTTTAATATATGCCACCATATTATTTTTATATGACAGGGGTACACATTCAGCATCATATCTGTATACAATTTCAGCAACCTGCACAACCATTTTTACCTATCATTACAGCACATATCTTATATATTAAATGCTCTTGAAAAAATACACAAATTTTCTTTTGATATCCATAAATTGTTTAGCTTTATTTATATAAAAAATAAATCAAGCAATACACAAACAAGCCAGTCAATAAATTAAACATTAAAAGCAATTTAATAAGTGGTTGTTAGTAGAACTATATAAAATATTACAGTTCAAGGGTAGATATCATCAAGCAAATATATGAAAGGAAGAAGTTAATCAATATGTAAAATCAACAATACTCTTTAATACTTTGCCCCTCTGGGAACTAAAACCTCTACAAATACACCGAGAGACTACCAAGTAAGTGTGCATTTGGTGTGCATTTGGCATGCATTTTAAAAAACGTGTTGTTAAATGAAGCATTTATTGCATAAGCACCTTTTGTAAGAACATTAGTCAAATACTTCATTTAAAGCATTTTTAGTTGTAGGCTTGTCTTGTTCCCCTATCCCCACGTCACACCACCAACAGATGCTCAATGGGTTTCTAGGTAATTTTCCATTTTACTGATACAGATGTATTAATTATACAGTTGAAGATTAGTATTTAAGATCTATACAGAATACTTACACTGCGGGAAGTATGAAGGACAACAAGCCCAACAGGAATGAAAAGAACTCCCATTAAAAGAAAAACTGTAATAACCTGCAGAAGACATAATCACATTTAAGGTCCATAATAATTAATGTATAGTGAAAAATTATAGAAGATTTATGTGTCAAGTTGGGCAGCATTCAAACACTCACCCATGTAGGTGTCAACACAGGCTTACAAGCTGGGAGGCTCTGTTGTGTAAAATGATAATAGGCTGCATTTAATGTAGCAATTCACACGGTGTTTCAAGAATAACATCAAGAGAGAATACTTTGGCAGATTAAAAGTATAAAAAAGGAGGGGGGAAATAATGATTTTCAGATATGATAAAAGCAACTAACCCAGCTATAAAAACTGCCTGCCCAACTTACTTCACTGATTATTAACCCATCAGAACTTTGAAGTACCCCCATTATGTGGCTTGGATGACGGAACTGTGGAAGTTACATCTTTTATAACCCAGGCTGTCTTTGAGCATACTAGACTTACTGTTCTTGTACTATTATCCCAAAGTGTCCCCACTGCTACTTCACATTTTTCTTCATTTATAGTCCTATATCAACATATATTTCTACCTACTTCACTTTATCTTCGAAACCCATTTAAAATTTAATCAAACACCCCAAAAATGTCTGAACTTCCACTGAAAATTAGAAAAGCATCAAACAAAAATATGAATGCTACTTTTATCAGCGAGAAGTCTAGTATGACTGATATAACCACAATTACAAAACTACGACGCTTTCCTTTGTATGTGGGGACTGGCAACTTCCTTTAATAGTAAACCTTCTCTTTTGAAGTCTACAATTTCCATCTAAAGGTTAGCAGAAAAAAACGGTACAACGGTCCCTCACCATTAACCAAAGGAACACACAGGATATCTCTTAATCTAATGACAAAAGAGATGCCTTCATTCTACACTTACCAAGTACCTTTTAGAAACCAGAAAATTAATCGATCCTAAAAATTACATTACATACCCTTCTTGTCAACTAAACCAGTAGATTTAAAAGTTGAAAATTAAATTGCAACCAAAACCTCAAAAATTACTATGCTAAAAAACTCACTGGATATTTATTATCCCAGGTAAATAGTTGTGTTGAAGTGTTCTCAATCCATGACCACTTATTTACCAAGGATTTTACTATTATGTCCAAGAATTGGATTTGAAAATACCACTACTTATTCCATTTTTTACCATAGAGGTTACCTGTATGTCTCCTTGCTTGTACATGTCCGGCTGGAATTGATCCAGATCCTTCAGGGACCACTAAACTGCTGCTTCCATCCAAATCCATAGTTTTCCTGACTATAAATGGGACGAATCAGAAAACAAAGGTCCGGGAACTTGCACTTGCCAAGCTTTCGTTTGCCTTTGTATTTCAAAGCTACCTCACCAGAAGGCAGTATTAGAATTTTGTATCAGCTACTGAGGTCCTGCCACACAGCAAATTCAGTTCAAGCCTTCTTTAAAAAGAAAATTTTTTGGCCAAGCATGCTTGAAAATGGTTGATATTCTTGGTGTTTCACCTCCCAGTGAGGGGGAACGCAGAAACGTGTAAACAGATACATGTTTATTATTACATTAAGACAACAATAAATAAGCATATATGTATATGTGTGCATGCATAGCTTTGCATAAATTGTGGTTTAAATCGGAAAATAGTGGTTCTTTAAAAATCTGTATTGCCTCCGTTCAGAATTTGCCTCCGGATTTTCTTTGCCTTTAGAATCCAACTACAGGACAGAGAGATTTTAAATATATAAAACCCAACAAAATACGAACCATATCGCTAAGCGAACTGAAGAGCACTCATTACCTATAATACAAGTTCTAACCTTCTCTATATTCGTAGTTTTCACCCGAATGCAAACGTACCCAAATTAACTGAAGTCTCTCGAATATGGCTAGCGCGATGATATTGACTACACACACACACATAGAAGACGCTAAAATCCCCTAATTGCTCTCTTCCATCGCTATATCAATCCGAGTACAGTATACACAAGAGACGGGAAATTGGAACGGATAAAGGTACCATAAATATACATCAAAAGATAATTCTATTTAATTCTGAGAGGATCGAAGCACAGCTGATTACCGTGATTCGAAAAATAAAATAGTAACCTGGAGATGTCGAACAGGAGAGACGGAGCTGAAAGGAAGAATAATTGGATATACACGGATTACAGTGCACTCAAAGCGAGAAGGGGTTGATTGGGCAAAGAGTGAAATCAGTACTGAAATCTTGGGTTTTCGAACGAGAAGTAGTGCAGGAGAAAGCGGTGCTCGTTCGGTGGTGTTAGATATTCTGCTCCCACCATTTTCTCCATTTTCTCGATCTCCAATTCGGTTTTTTCATGGAATATGTTCGTGAGATGATTTAATATATTGACACCCATTAATAAAGTAACACCATCTAAAATTTATTAAACAGATTTATAAATTATAAATGATTAATTAAGAGGACTAAGTAAACTTACGAGGATTGATTTCAGTCTTTCATTCCTGAAATAATAATATACTATTCATCAAAAATTATTTAAGTTTAAATATGAGTCGAATATTTGGATCAAATCTATTGAAAAGTCGGACAAAACTCGAGACAAGGTTGGAAGCAAGTGGCTATTGGGTAAGAGGCTCTCGCACGGGATGTGATTGAGCACTACACTCGTCTCTAACTTAAGCATCAAATTACGTGTGCTACACTCAGTGAATTTTTCTTTGTTTTGCAAGTCATTTCTTTCCCAATGAGTATAAAATGTTGAATCATATACAAATTACGTGTGCTTCTTTTGTCCCAATTTGTGCATCAATAATAAGAGTTATACCACAAAGAGCCAGATTAAGGAACAAGGTACAAGATTTGCTAGACGAGGGAAGATGTTTTTCAAGTAATAGCGAGTATGTCGTTGGACAAAAGCCCACCTTGCCCAACCTTAACCTCGAGAGAGATGACCCAAGAATTTGATGCATAGAAAAAAAAGAAAATATATATATATATATATCAAAGTCCTAGTTAAGGTTACTAAAAAAGAGGAGATCAATAAGAGAACAAATAAGAGAACAAAATTAACTGGCGGCGAACTTGAGCTCTTACAAATGATATCATAATCATATCAGAGCTCCCCAATAAAACTCAACCCATAAATATGCTATGATTTCAGCCATTTGTAATAACCATTGCCAACCCAGCTACAGAAATTGGAGTAAGTTATCAAAAAGAGTATTCAATAGTGAATGCTAGAAAGATTCAATGAAATGATACTTTCTCATGTGAATCAATATAAGCACTTGCTTTCGTGTCAAAACTTAACATAGAAGGAATGAAGAACAATCCTCCACTACAGATTTCACATAACCCACCAACTAATTAATACCAATTTCTTTCTTTACTCAGCCGACTCATTGTTGTCAGTGGCCTTTGGTTCACACTGCCCTCCTTCAATGTTCTTCCCAACCTGTGGTCGCCTAAGGGCTGATCAAACACCAGGGAACAGATCAAATTAAACTTTTGCTATATTACTTCATAGAATCTGACGAGGTTTAAGCAAGAGAAACGATAAAAAGAATTAACTGCAGGAGACAATAGGCATCGGGCATACTCTGTTTTATGCAAAGTTATTAATGGATTTTCTTACAACTCCCATCCCAACATGAAAATAACTCAATGTGATCAAACGCATTTAGTCATAAGACCCTCCCTCTATGGGTAAATACATAAAAGACAACCATCATATTAACTTCTTTGAGTCCCAGCAGATGACATGTAGTGAGTATTTAGCAACAACAATCATAGGAAAATATTTTACAAGTCAAGCTGTTATTATCCAGTGAGACTTAGTTAAGGTGCAAGTGAAGATTTTGTTCCCAAAAAAACAATCCCATGAAGACAACAGCCCAAGCAGATATCGTCTTCTTTGGACTTTCACTCCTAAGTTTCCCCTCAAAGTTTTAAAACCGTCTATTAGGGAGAGGTTTCCACACCTTATAAGGAATGCTTCATTCTCCTCTCCAACATCGACGTGGGATCTCACAATCTACCTCCCTTGAGGCCCAATGTCCTTGCTGGCACACTACCCAGTGATTGGCTCTAATACCATTTATAACAGCCCAAGCCCACCGCTAACCGATATTGTCCTCTTGGGCTTTCCCTTCTAAGCTTCCCCTCAAGGTTTTAAAACACGTTTATTTGAGAGAGGTTTTCACGCCTTTATAAAGAATATTTCGTTCTCCTCTTCAATCAATGTGGAATCTCACAATCCACCCCCCTTGAGGCCCAGCGTCCTCCCTGGCACATCGCCTGGTGACTAACTCCGATACCATTTGTAACAGTCCAAGCCCACCGCTAACAAATATTGTCCTCTTTTGGGTTTATGTTTCTAAGCTTCTCCTCAAGGTTTTAAAACACGTCTGTTTGGGAGAGGTTTCCACACTCTTGTAAGGAATGCTTCGTTCCTCTCTCCACCAAGGTGGCAAATATGTCAGGCAAGTGATGAAAATACATCATATAAAAACATGTAAAGCAACATAAGGAGAAAAGAAAAGAAAAGAAATCTAACATTTAAGAGCCGATCCTGCAAGACAAGTCAGCCTTGATTTTGTATTTGCCTCAGCTAATGGATTTGGCTTGTCCTTAATGGCCATTCGAACATCCCAGACACGTATAACTCCATCTGATGATGCAGATGCAACTATATGTGGATCATCATCAGAGAAAGCACCAGAGGAATTCTTCGTGAGTACAACAATCCCTTTCACACGGGCAGCATGCGCCTCTTCTATAGAATATGCTACCTTCCCACTTTTTACATCCCACGCCGTAACACAACGGCCCTCTCCACCGGTAAGCAGAATGCCATTCTGTCAAAGTTTCAAGAACAATTCAACACAAGGTAGACAAACCTTTTGTAAACTTAGGAACTAAAAAAGCGTTGAACAATTTATAATCTCTGAATCAGTTCTATTACACAAGTATGGAACACAGTGTTCAGTAACAAACAGCAAATACGATCCAAAGCAAAACATCAATGAGAGAGACTGACCTCGCAAGGCGTAGCACAAAGAACCCGCTTCTTGTTCTCGAATTCGCACAGCAACCGTGCATCCTCTGCCTCATGCACCGATACCTTCTCCTCCATAACCATAAAAAACTTATCCCCACCAACATCAAAATTCACCAAGCTGGCCTCTTTGCCCAACCTGCAATAGAAACTCCTCTTTCCACGAACCAAATTTATCATGGCCAAGCACTCATCATGACCCACTGTCAACGCGAGCTTTCCAGAGGGGTGGATAGAAAGATCGTTAATAGCCTTCCTGTGAGGCAACACAGTCTTAAGGTGGACAAAAGGGTCGGCGTCGTAGATACATACGGATCCATCTGCAGCAGCAGACACGAGGTTACGAGGAAACGATAGGTTGGGAGGGGTGTAGAACGAAAGAGCAGTTAGAGATGCAGAGTGGTCGTGAAGCGATCCAAGAGAGGAAGCGGAGGAAAGGTCATAGAGGTGGATAGTATCATCAGCGCCACCGGAAGCAGCGACAGGACCGGCGGCGGCGAGGGTTCTGATGGCGGAGAGATGAGAAGGGTAGGAGAAAAGAGGGGTGAGGGACAGAGTTTGGGGTTCGGACGGTTTAAGCTTGAACCCCCAAATGAATCTTTCGTACGAGCCTGCTATGAGACTCATGGAGGCGGAGGCGGAGGCGGAGGCGAAAGCGGAAGCGGTCTCCGGCAGCAAGTTGTCGGAGATTGGCCTGACTTGCACAAACCTTCGTTTAAGAGAAATTTTGCGGGGTTTCGCTAGGGTTTTAGGATGCGCGCCGCTTTCTGCAGTCTCCGCGCCTTGACACAAATATATTATTATTATTATTATTATTATTATATTAAGTCAGGGCTCTTTTTTATGATTTATTTTCTTTTTCCAAAATAAAAATTAAATTAAATTAAATTAATAAAAATAATAATTTTTAACACTCGAGCAAAATTTTTAAATCTTTTAAACATTATTTACCATTTTCATCAGTTATCATCGATTTTTTTTTAAGTTTAAAAATATTATTAAAATTTATAAATATATCTTTTAAAACAAAAGTATTTTTATCAATTTAACAAATAAAAAATAGTTAATTTCAGTAAATTCTATATTTATAGAAAATAAATTTATTTTAAAAAGATAAAATACCCGTGAAAAAATGGGAATAGAAATTTGGGTAGAACAAGAGAATGAAAACTGAAGAATCAAAGATTGAAGCTTTCCGCAGGGATTTTGTTTGATCTTTTGGAAACAGAGAGAGAGAGAGAGAGAGAGAGAGAGAGTATTTTTGGGGACAGTGGGCGTCACAGTGGTGTGGCCAAGCAAACAAATAGCGGAAGCGATGCCATTGACAGCCCAATTCACTCTTCCCGGGCACTGTACCGAAGAACCATATTCTAATTCTGGCAGACGACGTCCCAATACGAAGACCCACTCCAGAGATTCACCTCTTTAATGCCCTCTCCCTTCTCCCTCTTCATTTCTTTCAATCGAAACGCATCAATGGCTGACGACGAATCGCAATCTCAACCTCCCCTCCAAGCCGATTCTTCTGCTCCTCCGCCACTGCCGCCCCCGCCTCCCTTTGATCCCAGTCGAAGTAACATTCCTTTCTCCAACTTAATTTCTTGATTCTTAGGGTTTTTTTTTTTTTTTGTTTTCCTTCGGTGTTGAATGTCGTTTTAGGGATTTATTAAGGCTAGGTGGTTCTGATCTTATCTGTCATGTAATGGGGTTTCTACTCTCGAGAACCTTTTACCTTTTTCTTTTAAGCAATTGATATTCGATGGATTTATAGATTCTAGCTATGGGATTGGACGAATTAGCTCCCGTCTTGTTTTTGATCTTGTTCTTGAGTTGTCTGATTGTTGTTTTTCTTCCTTTTGAAGTGATTGGTATCATCAAACGGAAAGCCTTGGTAAAAGAGCTAGCTGCAGCATATCACGCTGAGTGTCTTCTGTACTGCCAAGAGCTTCTTGAGCTTCAAAGAAAGTGGGACGAGGTTTGAAATTCAGCCTTATATTTCAACTGTTTCAGTATTTCTTTTTTTTTTCTTCAGAGGTTTAATCAAGATGTTTCAACTATATTAGTGAAACACTGATCTCCGTTCATTTTTTATGGACGGAATGTTTGAACTGGAGATTTCTGCCATAACTCATAACTGATGATGTGTGTGAGATTCTATATCAATTGGGGAGGATAACAAAACATTCTTTATAAGGATATGTAAATGTCTTCTTAGCATACGCGTTTTAAAAACCTTGGGAAGCCTGAAAATCAAACCCCAAAAAGGACAATATCGATTAGCGGTGGGTCGGTGGGTTTGAGCTATTACAAATGATATTAGAGTCGAACACTGAGCGGTGTGCTAGTGAGGACGCTGCCCCCAAGGGGTAGATTATGAGATCTCACATTGGTTGGAGAGGTGAACGAACCATTCCTTATAAGAGGGTGGAAACCTCTCCCTAACATACGTGTTTTAAAAACCTTGTGGGGAAACTCAAAAGGCAAAGTCCAAAAAATCATATCTACTAGTAATGGACTTAGGCGGTTACTGTTTGAGTTTTTATATTTGTTTTCAGCCTATTCTATCATATCACTTGGTCTCTTCCGGTGTGCCCTTCTGGTTTCCTTCCAGGCCAGCCAAGTTTCAAAGCCACGATTACACATTCATGATAAACTTTGATTTTTTTCAATGTGCCTATAGACTTTCATGGGGTTCCGGATTTGCCTTCAATTGTTCACCTGTGCTTCCCACAAGGCTATAAGGAGTATAAGCAGTTATATGGAGGATTATAAGCGATCAAGAAACTTGTGAGATCCTAATCGGTTGGGGAGGAGAACAAAACATTCTTTATAAGGGTGTGGAAACCTCTCCTTTTAAAATCCTTGAGGGAAAGTCCTCACGGAAAAACCCAAAGAGGACAATATTTGCTAACGGTGGGCTTGGTATGTTACCGAACTTGTATAGCTGGCCTATGTGAATTAATCATAAATGTCATTTTCATGATGGTAATGATATTCCAGGTCGAAGAGACTCGCATATTAGAAATCCAATGATTTAAGTTTTAATATTTTTTACTTGCTCATTGTGTCTCATTGTGTCGATATGTTTGCAGCCATATATTGAATTAAAAGTACCTGAGGATCCAAGAAAGGAGACAATGAAGCCTAGCAAACGTCAGAAGAAAGCCCGCTAGGTATTAATATATTACTTTACATGCTAGGATTTGCTTAGACCATCCATCTACTAAGCTTTTATGAGACTATTTTACGCATGTGACTGCCAAACAAACTCATGATGAATGCTACTTAGTAATGTTAGATGTTACAACATTCTTGATGCATTCAACAAACAGCTTCTCTGAAATTAGAAGAACATTTTTCTTGAGTTAGCAATTCTGTTACCCTTCTACCATTTCAGGCTATCATTGTTTTATCTGCAGGTAATTAATACATTTGATACTGCTTACCCGACTTCGCCATCTGATGATTCATCCGTTCTGCAAAGGAAGCTCATGGCACAAAGATGATGGTCAAAGTATTGATAGGCTGATACTCCACGGAGCCAACAATCTGTACACTCAGTTATGAAAACAATGATGTATATGAAATATTTGTATGCTTTATGTACTCAATTTGTGTGATGATATCATGACACAGTGGTAGGGATTAGTTTTTTTTTTTGTAAGCAAACAAGCTAACAGAGTGTCTCTGTTCACAACCTTTGAATTATAAGCTTCGTTTCCCCTTTTTTGTTTGGCTGAATCCATGCCACTCAAAATCAATCAATCGAGATCAGCGAGTGAAATTCTCACGTGAAGTAGAAGCTATTCCCTAATTTAAGTGAAAAACGGGAAGGGCAATCATTCTATGTGAAGAGTTATCAACTTACATTATTCAAAATCTGTTTACAACAATTGTATCTCTAATGACGTTACCAAACTTGTAAGGGTCACAAGAAACTATTGCTGCTTAAGACATCAGTGGCTGTAAGGTACATACTTTGTTAAGATGTGAAATTTTTTAACAGTTTTCTCGGATACAAGGTTTAAACCTATAACAAGTTTAGGCTAGCTATTGAATATGGATGCCCACATTCTATGAAGTGGACAACCTTCTGTGGTGGGAGAAACAATCTGTCCTTCCATTTTAGTTTCAACTGATGGTCCGACTTCGTGAACGAATTTGACAGATTCCGATAGCCGATTGAGTAGGTTCATCAGGGCGATTACTTCATTTCTTTGCAACTGTAACCCAAGGAAATGAAATAAATAAGTTTGAGTTGGTCTGTAACGATATCCAATTATTCGATGTCATGCAGCAGTTTTAGCATTACTCTAGCACACAAGCTGGACAAGTATGATTACGGTTCATCGAGAAATTCAAAAGACCTACTTGAGATAGATTCAAATATGCGTTTGAAGTGCTTAAAAAGAGTATTTTGACATGAAGAGGCACAATTACTTACATCCAGACCCAAGTGTTCTTGATGATCATCAGCAGAGAAGAGGATCTTCAAGGCAGTACCCAAACCAAGAACCTGAAGCTTTCCCCAAAGTCGACATTTCTCGCATCCAACGCAATCCATCAGTGCACTGCATGACATAGAAAAAGAGAGTTACTACTTGCATAGCATTTCATCAAAGAATCAAAGGAAAGAAGAGGGTGTGGCGAAAAAGAATGACCTGATGTTTCTGAATTGCTTTTGTATTTGCTGCACTTCTGGTCCTTGTTGACCTTTCCATAACTTGGCTTCATCAAATGGAAGTGGGCAAGTAGCTTGTAATTTTGAATTGAAAAGAAGCTGTTTCATCAAGGATTGTGTCTTCAGATCTTCGTTCAAATTACCGGTATCATATTCAGCATGCTCCAAGTACTCTGTGGCCTACATGCGTTTGCAGCAACAATGCAACCAACAGTGGATTTGTTAAAATTAAAGCACCATAAACACAACAACAATTAGGAAAGACATATCTCTACACATAGGAACTACAAAATGGAGTCAGAGTTCCTACTCACTTTCGTCACTGCTCGAAGAACGAAGAGGTATGTGAAGTACAAGTTTCTAACACGATCAGGATATTGTAGGACACGGTCATACAGCAAAGTAAGATTTTGACCCCACTGTAAAGAAAAGAAAAATACTTCAAATTACTGGAAACTATAACCACAGCAGTTGCGAAAATTGACGAATGAGAAGCGGTACCGTATTTTTGGTCTCGTCAATTAAATAATCGGCAGCTATATGGACTGAAATAGAGGAATGTAGACCAGATATCATTTTGTATAATATTCTTTGCTCTTGGCATAACTCTTCTGATGGATCTGGAAAAGGAAAACAAAGAAAAATATGTTTAAGAATAAGGACATGATTTATGAAAGAAAAGAGATGTTCATTATTTGCCTACACCATGCCATGAACTCCTACATTTTATCCTTCAAGATAAAGACCATGAATTAAAATGATACATATCCATATAACTCCATTGAGAAAAGTCCTTATAAAGAGCTTTAACCACAAAATCATCACTAAATATCAAATGAACAAAGTACAGAAGCAGAAATTTGAAACAGGGGAGGAATGCAAAGTAGACTATAGGAAAAATAAGTATACATTCAATCAACAATTCTTGAGAATGAGCTACAGTAGTTCTAATTGGTGACCAGAAAAAATGATACTTTAATGAAGAAAAGAGAGCGAGAGACGTTACGTTTCGGGCAGTTCTCTGAATAGACAGAATCCCAAATCCTTCTAGCAGATGGACCAGTGTATCCAGTGTAGCGTTCGGGGTTCAATTGAAGATTTACATATGTCATCTCACCTGGTAGAAATAAAGCAATTGAAATCAAATAAGAGACCAGACAACAAAATAGCCGATGTTCGCACCGAAGTGTTGTATTTAATATAACACACCGTTATCAGTCTCGTCATCATTGGTCCAGGGGTTGTCTATCTCAGTCCAACCTTTGAAAGCTTTACGATCTAATGTACGATCGACAGTAGCTTGTGGCTTTCCCTCTTGACAAACCAAGGCCTCGGATGAAAGGATGTGAGGCTTCTTAAACGACTCAGGGAACTCATTATCTGGGCATTCACAAACACTACAATCTCGCAATCGGCACATACCATCGTCAGGCCAGAAGGGACAATCACACCACAACTTAACCTGTGAATGTGAGCATACATAGGCAATAGGAATATCAGGATGCTAGATGTGAATAAAGCAATAATTAATAGGAGTATATTACGATATACAATGTGAATGGATTGGACAGAACCAGGTAAGTATCATTATAAGATCTCATATCAGTTGGAGAGGAGAACGAAGCATTCTTTATAAGAGTGTGTAAACCTCTCCCTAGCAGACGCGTTTTAAAAACCTTGAGGAAAAGCCCGAATAGGATAATATCTGCTAGCGATGGGCTTGAGCCGTTACAAATGGTATCAGAACCAGACACCGGGTAATGTGCGAGCCCAAAGAGGGTGGACACGAGGCAGTGTGCCATCCAAGACATTGGGCCCCTAAGAGGGTGGATTGGGAGGGTCTCACATCGATTGGAGAATGGAACAAGTACCAACAAGGACGCTATCCCCCCAAAGAGGGTGGATTGTGAGATCCCACATCGGTTGGGAGGAGAACGAAGCATTCTTTATAAAAGTGTGGAAACCTCTCCCTACAAATGCATTTTCTCGTTTCTTGACAAGTTCTTGGAATCACAGCCAAAAGGAGCCTTATTCCACAATCCCTCACCTTAAAACTAGAGCATTTATGCGACAGACAAACTTTCCCTTCTAATCCAAACTAAACCTATGCCTCAAGAACATATAAAACTGCTTCTAAACTAAAAAAACTTTTATTTCGTGAAGAAACACAGAAGGGTTTATCTCAAATTGACGTTTAGATCAAAATACAACAAGATATGGTATAGCATTAGTTCATCAAAATCAGCCAATTAAATTCAAACAAACCTTGAAATAGCGGAAGAATGGAGTTTTAACAAGCTCTTGAAGGGAAGGATATAACACTTCCTCGTTTAATCGATCTACAGTCTCATAATCACAACAACAATCCTCCACCATACCGCTGTATTTGGGGGTATCCTGTGCATTTAGAACAGAAACTTAAGATTGCATCAAGAATCAACCAAACCAAACTTCTAAATTATCCTCATTAGCTCGTCTCAAATTCAGCAGCCCAAAGAAGACACGAAAAATGTAGTGAAGTGCTAAGCTTAAACGAGAAGTAAACAATGTAGGTGCCTTAATCTCCAAGTTTCTCATCAATCAAGCATAACCAGAGAGAGAGACTTAAGGTTCAGAAAACGTACATTAGAACAATGGCAGGGCTTATTGGTGCGGCCAAAGAGCGAAATCATAGGAGCCGTCCGAGAAGTCATAGCCACAGCAAGCAAAATAGCGATGAAAGCACCTCCCATCATCAAACCCCATCGGTATCTCGGACCGTTTGCACCAACCATAACTTCCGGCGATTCTGTTCAAAGAGATCCCGTCTCCGGCGGCCAAAAACTCGAGGGGGAAATACGGAGAAAGATCAAGTCGGCGATGCGTGAAGACTTGAAGAAGAAACGAAAATTGGTCAATGAACAATTGTTCAATCAGCAGCCAATAAATTGAATTTGAAGACTGAAAAAGCAACCAAAAACGTGTGGAAAAATTCGATGGGCGAACGGATTTGCAAATGGTTTTAATTATCTCCCCAAACTGCAACTCAACGTCCAAAATCTTCCAATTATGGAAGAAACCTACTGAGGTTTTTGGATCAATTTCTTCTGTTTTATTTCTAGCGTGGAGAGATTGGAATGGGAATTCCTCCATTTTTTAAATCATTCATTTTTTCTTTTTAATTCATAATGCTTAAGAACGGTAAATTAAACTTATTATCTAAACGTTATTTAACATCTGTTCTTCCTAAATTTTCACTTCATATTTATTAAACAAATAAAAATCAATGAAAGTTATGTAGTTGACAAATAATTATTACAAATTAGGAGTCCTGTTTCAAAAATTGAACAATATCCGCCTTTAAATCAACCAAATTTCTTCAATTTCCTTAATTGGGCTGCCAACGAACAACTTCCAATCAAATTTCTTCTTATTTTTTATAAACCAATCAGATTTTGTACATTTTACAAGAACGTACCATGTTTATCTTTGTCATAAATGTGAATTTCCAATTTTAGCCTTAAATATTGAATCCCTTCTCGGGATAAATAGACATGGAGATGGACTTTTTCGTCTCAATTTCTACAAAAATTCTATGTTAAATTTCATGAATATCAAGATATGGGGAGTCCCTAGTGAAAAGTAGACACATTTATTGTGAGATCTTACATTAGTTAGAGATAGAAACAAAACAGGGTGTAGAAACCTCTCTCTCGAAAGTCCTTGAATAAAAAGCCCAAAAAGTACAAGTACTCGCGGTGAGCTTAGACCATTACTGATGATATCGACATCAAACACCTTGCGATGTGCCAGCAAAGACGTTACCCCCCAATGAGGGGTGGATTATGAGATCTCACTGAGATGGGAATGAAACGTGACTTCTAAATGTGCAAAAATCTCTTCCTAATAAATTGCCTTTTAAAATCTTAAGGGGAAAATCAAATAAGACAATATTTGCTAGCGGTAACTTGGGTCGTTACATTTATACTTCAATAATGGTTTAAGTGTTCAAATTCTCTATAAAATCGTTGGAGGTAAATCTTAAACTTATTTGCTCTCTAAATATCATTTCATAGTC